AGAAGGTATACAACAAAATCGGGTCCAAGATCCTTTGATTTTCAAGCCCTTTTGTTGCGTCCCCCTTCACATTCTCGCGTTATTTCATTGTTATCTTTTATAGAATCAAAAGGCCTCTTATGTGAGTTTGTTTCTTCGACATGGGTTGGAATGAAAACATCCATGTCGGAGGAGACAACTTCACAATCTCCCTTGAAAGGGAATACATTCTCAAAGAATGTAGCGTCTCTAGATTCTATAAAAGTATCGGCCACTATATCCATGTTATGGGATTTGTGAACAAGGAAACGATATGCACTACTATTTTGTGCATATCCAACAAAGACACAATCAATGGTCTTTGATCCAAGTTTTGTCCTCTTAGGTTTGGGAATAGCTACTTTAGCTAGACATCCCCACACCTTCAAGTAATTAAAACTTGGCTTGCGCCCTTTCCATAACTCATATGGAATTTTAAGAGTTTTCTTGTGGGGCATTCTATTTAGAATGTAATTGGCAGCTAAAATAGCATCCCCCCACAAATTATTTGGTGCACGAGAACTTACTAACATGGCATTAACCATGTCCTTTAAAGTCCTGTTCTTCCTTTCAGCTACTTCATTTGATTGAGGCGTATAAGGAGCGGTTACTTGATGAATAATTCCACTTTCCAAACAAATTGATTCAAATGGATATTCATACTCACCACCTCTATCACTCCTTAGTGCCTTAATCTTCTTACCAAGTTGATTTTCAACTTCGGCTTTATAATGCGTAAAAGCATTAATCGCTTCATCTTTGCTTCTTAGCAAATACAGATAGCAATATCTAGTGCTATCATCGATGAAGGTTATGAAATACCTTTTCCCACCTCTAGTTTCTTCATACTTAAGATCACATAGATCCGTATGTATGAGGTCTAGCGGTTCAGTTTCTCTTGTGATAGAGTGAAAAGGTTTTCTAGCCATTTTCGCTTCGACACAAATTTGACATTTGTGATTAGGATCAATATGACATTTAGGAAGCAACTCTAAATGCATTAGTCTACGCAAAGTATCATAATTTACATGTCCTAATCTAGCATGCCAAACAGAAGAAGACTCAACCAAGTAAGAAGAACCCACTTTATTATTATCAACAAGTTTGGGTACAACGGTAAGTACATTCATTTTGAAGAGACCATCATTGAGATAGCTCTTCCCTACAAACACATCATTTTTAGTAAGTACAAATTTATCGGCCACAAAGACTAATTTAAAGCCATTCTTGCTAAGGAGGGAGCCCGAAACTAGATTCTTGCGTATATCAGGGACATGTAACACATCGTTCAAGGTAAGAGTTTTCCCACTTGTCATTTTGAGGACAACTTTGCCACGACCTTCCGCTTTAGATGTAGAGGAGTTACCCATAAATAGTTGTTCCTCGTTATCAACTCGTTGATAATCGGTGAACATCCACTTGTTAGCACAAATATGTCGGGTAGCTCCAGTATCAATGCACCATTCGTTAGTGTTACCCACTAAATTGCATTGAGATACCACGGCACATAGGTTCATTTCACCCATGTCATCGGAGAGGTCGTCCACAATATTGACTTGTCCGGTGTTCTTTTTCTTAGGAGCATGACAGTCCTTAGCGCGGTGACCGGGCTTGCCACAATTATAGCACTTTCCTTTGAACTTCTTTGACGAAGGCTTCCCTCCACTTGTTCCTTCGTCACTGTGCTTTCTCTTCTTCCCCTTCTTGGATCCCGCTTCCACCATGTTCGCTTTAGCTTCCATGGAATTAGATCTTCCAGCCTTATGCTCGGATTTGCGGTTATCCTCCTCTATCCTTAAGCGGACAATGAGCTCCTCTAGGGACATTTCCTTACGCTTATGCTTCAAGTAATTCTTGAAGTCTTTCCATTTGGGAGGTAATTTTTCAATTACCACAGCCACTTGGAAGGACTCGCTAAGGGACATACCCTCAGCGTGAATTTCATGAAGAATAAGTTGGAATTCTTCAACTTGAGAAACGACCGATTTGTGGTCAACCATTTTAAAATCCAAGAAATGTCCGACAATAAATTTCTTTTTGCCGGCATCCTCGGTCTTATATTTTTTCTCAAGTGATTCCCACAATTCTTTTGCCGTCTTTATATCGGCATACACAGAGTATAAGGAGTCATCTAGTCCGTTTAAGAGATAATTTCTACACAAGAAATCTGAATACTTCCACGCAACCACTTTTTCCTTACCAGTCTCGCCTTCCTCTAGAAGGGGTTGGCTTTCGGAGAGATACTTAGCCAAATTCAACGTCGTTAAATAAAACAACATTTTTTGTTGCCAACGTTTAAAATCATGGCCGTTGAATTTGCTAGGTTTTTCTCCATGAGAAGAACTGACTGGGACAGTAGGGAGCGGTGATAATTTCGGAAAAGCAATGTTTGATTCGTCTCTCATTCTGTTTACACAAAACAGACGATATTTTTTTTATAATGGAAATAATATATACACAAAGTATATAAAAATACTCAATTAAAAGTGTATACAAATACTACGAAATAGTATTATCAAAAGTCATGATGCAGAGATTGAATGAAATAGTATGTACAAAAGACAAATATCATGCAAAAATGATCAAAAGTTACGTAGTTCACCTAATGAATATGAAGACTAGCAGACATGCATATATTTGAACATATACATGCGATTATAAATTAACAGATGGATGCGACTAATGGAATAAAGGAAACGACTCTTCACAAATTTGACAGTTAAAACATGCACATGCAATTGAATAAAAATAATGCGACTCGAACAAAAACGCGTGAAGAAAACAAACGTATATAAGTGCACTGATAAAAAAATAATGCATTTACATGTATCAACTGCATATGTGATTAAAAAAAAATTAAAATAATAAAACAGTGGGCACACACATAAGTACAACGTGCAAATACTAGTCACATATTCAATTGAAATGGTGAAATACAATTGGTGTAACAAACAACTTAGTTGAAATAAAAAAAACGATCACTAAAACAAAATATCACTATGCACAGAATGTTGAACCGAAATTAAAAAAAAAGAACGTCTTAAGATTGTTATAAGTATGTACAATAATCTGCATGCAAATGAAATAAAAAATAAAATAGTTAAGGAAAAACGTAAGATTACTTGTAACCGAGCCCAACTTAAGCGTTGTTTCCTTAAGACGTTTTTTGCTCGACACACGTAGCAAGCGTCTCCCAGGATAGAACGGTTCTTCGCTCCCAACGGATTCCGGCGAACTCAAAGATGCAACGAAGAGAGAATATGGAGGATTGTGTGATGATTTTCGGATTGATTGAAAATGCCGGCAGTCATGGGTATATATAGAGCTCTGGCCAGGAGACTCTACACCCAAAAGACACCTTTAGAAAGAAAGGTCGTGACCTTCCTTCTAAAACCAATGGATGTGTCTATTGCCAAACATTATCCAAAATTAAGAGCGACTAATAGAATTAACTTTAAGCCATATACTCGGGTGGACGGTTTAAGACTCTAACCCGAAACCCGACCCGGCTTACTGAACGGCGGTGACGATGTTTGCGTGTGAGATATAATTCCACACTTATCTTTCGAGAAACAATTTCTCATTCATTTCAAAATGATTTTTACAAATAATATTAATGACCATAATATTAATTTGTAAAACCATTTTTCCGACAACCAATACCCTTCTTCTTTTCTTTCTCATCGATCAATATTTGAGATGATAATTTTTAATAAAATTTTGCTATAGGTACCCCAACTTTACCACATTCCCTACCCCATATAAATACCTCTTTTTTTACCATTCCTTTTACCCCTTTTCCAAAAACCCTCCCCCCTCCCCCACTTTTCTTCTTGTTCCCTCCCTCTCTCCTCCATCTTCTCTTTTCACGCCCCTCCCCTCCCCTTTCTTTCTATTTTCTCCAAAACTTGATTTCTTCTCCATTTCAAGATCTCTCCCCATCAAGTCTTCTCATTTTTTCAATCTTTTCTCCCTCCAAGCTTCTTCTCATGCTTCTCTCCTCGTCGACTTATTTTTTTCGTTTCAAATGGAAGAGCTACAGTATTTGAACGAAAAGGAGAGCTTGGTGACGTGGGGAGACAACGACGAAAGTACAAACCAAGAAGCTTTGAATGACTTGGAGCAGATCTACTTTTCTTGATTTTTTTCTTGATTTTTTGGTGCGTTTTAGAAAAAAAGGGTTGTCTGTCTAACAGATAACTTGTAAGTGCAGTGCCTGTATTTGTTAGTCTAGGAGAAGAATATGTCTGTCTAGCATAAAGTGAACATGGTTTCATAGTTGTTTAAAGTTGACGTGATTTTATAGTTGTTAGAGTCATACATAAAATGTGTGTGTGGCCAGACAACTTTAAATGTATGTGATTTTGTTTGGAAACATGGTTGTATTGGTAATGTAGTTTTTATATAAATGTGTGTGCCTTTTTTTTGAAACATGGTTGTATTGGTAATGTGAAGACACATGTTATGAATGAATTACATATGTAATCTCTACAAGGAGAAGAGTAAGGTTTCCTGTTAGAATAAAGAATACTCTCTGTCTTACAGCTAGACAAATTTTGTCTTGGCCAGACATTAATAATCTGGGACAATCAACTACTCTCTGTCCTACAGCCAGACAAATTTTATCTTGGCCAGACATTAGTAGTCTGGGTCAATTAAGTAGTCTTTGTCGTATAGCCAGACAAATTTTGTCTGGGCCAGACATTAGTAGTCTGGGCCAGACATTAGTAGTCTGGGCCAATTAAGTACTCTATGTCTGGGTATCTATGGTATTGTCTGTATGTGTAAAGTTATTGTCTTTCTACGTGAAAATAATGTATGTATGATTATCTCTAATGTCTGTCTAGATATATGTATTGTTTATCTATTCACAACAAATAATTTGTTGCAATAAATTGACGGACTACTCAAATGGAATGTCAGACAACTACTTTAACATGACAGACAACTACAAACCAATTTTAAACAATTGGATTTAACGTGCCAGACAACTAATATGCCTTGCCAGACATCTCAATATCATCACAGAGCAATCTAAATATACACAACTACTTCACAATTTCACCAGAAAGACAACTATCTTCACATTACAGACAAATCAAATGGAATGCCAGACAACTCTTTTCACTTCACAGACAACTAAAAACCAATTTTCAACAAACAAAAATACAACAAAAAAACTATGAGAGCATTCAACTTCGAGAATCTTCAAACACAGGCAACTCTTTCCAAGTTGAGCAGCAAATGGGGCAAATCAGGCTGCCTTGTTTCTTCACATGTGCAGCAGCTCTTTCCAGACAGACATCTTATGTAAGATTCCACCAATTGTGAAACTATGCTCAGCTAGACAGACGTTGCAATTCAAATTTGTCTGTCAGACAGACAACTGTTTTTCATGTGGAGTTGGACAAAATAATACCAAAAATGAGGAAAAAAGACCATGGCGTGCGAGGGCTCAGCTGCTCCAGCCGCTAGCTCCTCTTTCCGTCCAGTCGCCGCTCGCTCCCCTCTTTTCACTAGATTTTGAAGCTAACAGATCTGAACCAAAGCTAACAGATCTGAACCATCACATGTATGTTTCGAAGTTATGTTCGCTGGAATTTGAAAGTTTTGAACTGAAATTACAAGTTGGTGCAGAAGGTGTGGAAGGTTTTTAAATCTGATCGGTACTGAAATTACTGGGACGGCGGTCAGGTGTCGCCGGAGAAGATGACCGGCTTGCCACCGGACCTGCTTGGGTATTCGCCGGAACCAAGCAGGGGGCTTAACTGAGGGAAATGAAAGGGAGATGAAAGGGAGAAGGGCTGGCTGGAAAAGAGAGATGAGGGGGAAGGAAGATGAGGAAGTGGGAGTAAATTTTTGGGAGGGTATTTATATGGGGTAGGAAATGGGGTAATTATGAGGTACCTATAACAAAATTGTTTTTAATAATAATCTTAACGAGGCGGCAACCCATCATGGATCCCTGTCCTTTCGTGCGAATCAACATCGGGAACTTAGCGTTGAAGTTTCCGTCCCAATCAAAACCGCCCGGCGGATTCTTGCTACTGTAAATTCAAGCTCTGCGGTGGCGGGTTCGCCACTCAGTTCTCGACGCTGCCCGTAATCCATGGAGAAACCGACGCCGCTGTGGAGAGCCGGATTCACACGTGCTATACCCTGAAAAATCCGATCTTGAAAAGCTGAACGGGAAGGGGAGAACCACTTGCAGTTTGAAAATCGTCGTTTTCGCCGAAAGGGGTGCGGTAGGGTGCGCGCTTTTGAAGGGCGCGAAGCGATTGGGCGGCGCCGTCGTGAATTTGGATTTGAAGATGATTGCGTCGGCGGTTAGCCGCAGAGGCGTTCTGTTCCAGAACGGGTGGGTGGCGATTGGCGGTTCTACGGCCGCCCAGCTTCACATTAATGTACAGTCGGAGCCCGACCCGAGATTTGTTTTCCAGTTTGACGGAGAACCCGAATGTAGTCCCCAAGTCTTTGAGGTCAACGGGAATGTGAAACAGCCCGTTTTCTCTTGCAAGTTCGGCCTCAGAAGCGGCGGAGATTGGAACTTGAGATACAGGTCATTTTGATTTTATAATTTTGTGTATATTTATGAATTCTTAATAGAGTAATAGAGTTTCTAATGTTTTAATTTTAACTGTACAGATCTTCACTTTCAGAACAGAGCACTTCAACGAGCTGCTTTAGTGGTTCAGGGGAGTGGGAAAAGGGTGGTCAATCACCGGTACGTATATGATGCATCCTACACCCGGCCCAAATAAGATACACAGCCCAACAATCAATACAAGTCAAAAAAAATTCGGTGGCATTTTTGTAATATAAGTGAAAAATTACGGTTTCCGCGAAATGAACAATAGTGTACATTTAGTGAGATCTGACATATTTTATTGAGTATTTAGAGACTAACAATGAGTATCATGATTTGTGCTTCATATCTTCTAATTCATTTTTTTCCTTATTTTTTCTTTTATAAAAACTACTTGAATTATATCTATAATACACTTCTATGAATTTCCATATGCGAATTTAATGCAATATGATACTTTTAAAATATACATTAATATAACATTTTAAAATGAGCATAACATCAGTACCAAATGAGTATACGTAACTTATAAAATGTTTATTGATATGAAAATTGTAAGATTTGTTAGTTTAACATAATGATATGTTCATTGAGCACCAAACCTCATTTATTGAGATGAAAATCAAGCTTTCTGTTAAATGAGCATACCATTACCACCAAATGAGCATACATAACTTATGAAATGAGTATCAAAAATTTTAAAAACGCATTTTTGTGTGCTCATTCATTTTGGACGTTATACTCATTTTAATTTAACATAAAACTCATTTTAGCATCAGGCGTGGTCTACAGTGCGGGCGAACTTCATCCGACGGCGCACCAGACACTGAAGCTCGAATCCGCCGCCTTAGGTTCGGAATCAACAGCCTTCATCCGAAGGCTGTCCAGCGGTGATTGCAGACAGATTGCGAACTTCATCCGACGGCGCACCAGACACTGAAGCTCGAATCCGCCGCCTTAGGTTTGGAATCAACAGCCTCCATCCGAAGGTTGTGCAGCGGCGATTGCAGACAGATGGCGATGGTGTTGTTGCTTCGTGCGTGGAAGGCCATGGTGGGCGGAGAAGAGAGACGTGCGTAGATCCTCATCCATCGATTCCAAAGACATCAGCGAGCGCCGAGCAGCCTTCTCGATCCCTAATCATTGCCACTAGATTTGTAATTAATTGCAAAAATACCCGGATGTACGGTGAGGACCGTACATCCGGGTGTACGATATAATTTGCGGTCAATCACCATCCACGACCTTTCGGGTTCCCCGGTGGCGGCCGCATCTATGGTTACGCCGTTCATTCCTTCTCCCGGCAGTGACAGAGTCAACAGGTCAAACCCCGGCGCCTGGCTCATTCTTTCGTCCGGACAGGGCACATGGAAGTCGTGGGGCCGCCTTGAAGTGTGGCGGGAGTGCGGTCCTGGCGATTCCCTCGGCTGCCGGTTCGAGCTTATTCCCGACGGGATAACAGACACCGTCAGGCTGGCGAATTCGACGATCAGCATGAAAACCGGCGGCAGCTTTAGCATAGACATCATGAATGGGCCGACGTCGTTGACGAGCCCAAGTAGCAGCTTCGATTTCAGCTCCGGGTTGTGGTCCGGGCCTGGGTCAAATATCGGGTCGAATCACAGGTCCGGGGTCATTGGCGCACCTATTTTATAGAGCCATAGAGGGTTTGTGATATCAGCGGGAATGGGCGGCGACGAGAAGTGCGGCAAGACTGAGGTGGAGGTTGGGGTTCAACACGTGACCTGCGCGGAGGATGCGGCAGTTTTTGTGGCGTTGGCAGCTGCCTTGGATCTAAGCATGGATGCTTGTCGGCCGTTTCTTAGAAGCTCCAGAAAGAGTTGAGACATTCAAATCAAGAATCGTGATAATCGGGTCCCCGAACAATTCGTTCGAGTCCAGTTTTAGTCTTACATTGTATATTTTCAAGTAACGTTTGATTTCCAGTCAGTCTTACTGATTGGTCGAATTGTTTATTGCTTAGGCTTAGATTTCGTGAAGAGAATTGAATGATTTGAATCAATGGATATCCCCACAGACGATTGTTTTTTTATGTTCTTATTGATTTTGTCAAGCACCTATGTAGCATGAAAACTCTCAGGAAAGAGTACGTTTCCCATTTCGGAAATTCTCGGAAACTCTTTGGAAACCCTCTGATTAAGCCTTTTTTGAACAAAAGTTGACGTTTTCTGTTTTCGGTTTCCTCATTATTTTTGCGCTTCCGTGCAACATAGTCAAGCACTAATAAAAATCAATTATTCTTTAAGGCTAAGTTTTAGATTAAGGCTACGTTTTAGATTAAAAAAAAACTCCGTCTGAGAAAAAAGGAAAGAAAAAACAACTAGAAGTTAATCTTGTATAATTATTGGATATGGCTTATAATACAGGAAGAAGGTAGAGAAGAAATATGGTCGATGTTTTAATTTTCTACACAGATATGCATGAGTCAGTTGTTTAGGCACACAAGCAAACTAAGTGGGTGTGGTGGTTTTTACTCCACCGTGCTGCAGGATGAACCAGCTATAACACCAATCTAACCTAGGTGCACCATTTGCCATTAAATCATTGCCCAGTTTTAGGTCCAACTGTCTATGTTTTCTTTTCATGGTTGGCATATTGGCATAGTCATATTATTCAATACAAACAGGAAAAAGGGAAAAGGAAAACAACCCCTAAAAGATTTTTGGCCAATAAGATTGTTTTCAAGATATTAAACGAAGCAAAAGTCTATAACTGAAACAACCAAGTGAAATGAAGCCAACATAAAAACCTTGGGCTTTCCTGTTCTACTACTGATAGTCTGATACTCTAGGAAAGTAGAATGCACCCTATTCCTGAGGAGTTCCCAGGATCGACATAACAGTTTAGCTGGGATAGACACTACACATTTTTTAATTACTATAGTGTATTTGGGGGGGGGGGGGTATGGGGCTGACAAGATGCCACATGAGTTATGAAGTTCCAACAGATAAAAGTACAACTTCATATAACATGTAGCACCGCACTGAAACAACACTGTGGATGTTCCTTTGACTACACACACATATATTATTACCTAGAGGCATTACTAAGCCTTTTTGTATTGCCATTGCTCTAAATAAACTGCAAGAGCAGACACCAAGATAAGCTTTGTGTTGCCAGTCTTTCTGAATCACCCCTAAAACATGTCACTTGCTTCTTCCTTTTTGACTCATTAGGTGGATGGCACAACCACAAGGGCTACACGGCTTGTCCATTCCTCTCCCGGTTTTAATGTGACAGGTTTCTCTATTGCTGCAGCATCAACGCAGAGCATTTGTTTGTACTCTTCATCACCAAAATCTGCCATTGCCTTGGATTTCTTCTCCCATGGATTCCACACCGCTGCAAACGGGAAAATATATGATCAGCTTTAATGAAACTATTATCCTGTTGTAGTATCTGTGTGTCAAAGTACGCTGTTGCAATTGAAGTAGCATACCAATATCAGGAAGTCCATCTTTCTTTACTAGATATGTTTGTTTCCTTTCATGATCAAGCACAGCAATAGAGTTTGGAGTGCCAACATATACACGATCAAGCTGCAAAATTAAGAACGTTTCTTATATCCAATAAAATGGTCTTGATTAGAATATCAAAACTTCAGAATCACTGTGACTCAATTTGATAAGAAGACAAATAACTATTACTCCAAAACACGCAGTAGGATGTATGACAAACTATTCTTTTGGACATTGTTGAAAGTGCCAACTCAAATACAATATGAATATGATCGCTTGGTAACTGAAAGACAACAAGTGTCACTTAAAGATTATGAAAAGCAACGGAATACAAAAGAAAACACTATCAACGAGCATAGTTTCTGTAGAGTGATGTTTTAGTGAAGACAAACTGTCCCTCCCTTCAGTTAAACAAATGATTCAATTTACCTCGCACTCGAATGTTATTGCATCTCCTTGCTCTGTGAAACGTTCTCTATGGCAGAGATTGTCAAGATAGTCCAGTGTTTCTAACCCTTCAATCCTTACTTCACTGCAAGTAATGTTTTGTTTTGTTTTTGCAGATTGCCACATGATTAAGTTGTACAGAAATTCGCATAATAAAATGCAAAATACTGATGCAATGAATTTTGTGTATTTCATTTCACAATTCACAAAGCAAGATAAAATGACTTATATAGAAGGTATGGAGCTACATTTTGTATAGCTTGATCTATAAGTGTGCATTACATGCAAACAAGAAAGAGGATAAGAAGACTCACCTTATATCAGAGATAGACAAATATGTATGGCAAGCAAATGAGAAACTGAATGCTTTTCCATTGATGTTTCTAATACGAGATATCACTGTGAGATTTCCATCTGATGCTAGAGAAACCCTGAGGCGTAGCTCAAAGCTGAAAAGAAAAAGAACTTTTCAGTCGGCGTTTTTAAACTATATTGCCCTAATCATTTTTTTTCTTTTTAATTGAAAAAAAATGTCTTTCAGTTTTAGCCTGGTACAGAGCTGTTTGTACAAGAAGCAAAACACATTCAAAGGTATACCTGTGAGGCCAAAATTTCAAATCTTCTTCTGATGGTCTTAGTAGCAAGTCAATGAAAGATTTTCCATGAGCATCAAATGCATGCAGAGATGGAGGATGATTATCTATTGTCCAAAGTTTGTTTCTTGCAAACCCATGATTCTCAAGTGAACCACCATTGCCAAACTGCAGTACATATGTTCACGTTACAGATATTATTACCATCAACCAAGAGCAGTGCTAAATGTCAAATTACCTGGGGAAAGCAAATACATATTCCTCCTCTTAAAGCTTTTGGAGACTTTATTGCCTGGACATATCAATAGAATGCAGGTATGTATTTAGTACTTTTAACACTCCCTTGAAAAAATAAAATGATTTGTTAACCCACATGAGATCAGTTGAGTGACATACAATCATTAAACATCTCATGGTGGTCCATTGGTCCCTATATACAGTATCCAATAATAAATACTACAAGCTAAATGTGACATTTTAATATCATGAAATACTCAGAAATTTAAGAATTGGTGGTGTGCACCCTTTTAGGACAGTTAATTAATGTTACGTTTAAGCAATGTTTGGATCCTGGAAAATTCTAGCGAATGAAGAGAAACAACATAGAGAGTTGTTATCGTATGTTTGAATTTACCTCGAAAATGCAAAGAAAAATGAAATGCGACTAAATGTTTTCAGAAAAATTACACATGTTTAGAATGTTTAGCAATTACATAACACATGTGAATAAATAAAAAATGATTCGAGCATATATTAAAAAAAATCAATTTAGTTTGAACCAACAATTTATTTCCTTAACATTTTCTTCCTTTCTAAATATCTTTGGTATTTTCCTCCCAATTTTCTTTCTCTAGCAGTTCCGGTGTTGGAAACATGCAATCACAGCTTGTCAAAGATTTTAGCAGACTCGCATTTCATAGAGTGGCATAAATACTTGGAAATAAAATGAAAGCAGTGAAGGACCGAACACTATAGCCATATACGATAGTATAAAAATCTTTTTGTAAAGAGAGGAAAACATATGTGAGTCGCAATTCAAATATTGAATTGCTTCAAAGAAGGAAAAAGACGTGAATTGCCAGATAGTGGAGTACACTTAACATGAGAGTATGCGAGCAGAGCCTGGTCAGAGTTAACAATAATGCATATATAAACACGGAGCATCACCTTGCTACTGGTGAATAGGAGTTCCTCACCCCTAGCATTCCGCCATGAAGTAATCTGTCCTCCGTTCAAGCTCACCTGAATTTGAGAAAATTGACAGTAAAATAAAAAGGCATAAAATAAAAAGCGCATTCACTATTCCACTTATTCGATAGGGAAATGAATGATAGATAGATTCCCTAACATCAAGGATTTGCCGGAAAATATTTAAAGGGGGCGATAAATCAGAGATTCGTATACTACCCTGGCAGAGGCCCCATGAGGAGTACGGAGCACAACCTGATCGATACCATTCAAATCCTTTGTAACTTGAGTTGCAGCTCTGGGATCCCAGACTGCTGCACAGTGCCCCATTTCTAAAGCAGAGCACAGATCTCTTCCACCCCGCTCTCAAGAACAACGGCCGGGAGTCGGCGCCGTTATCACCGAAGCAAACTCGAACACCGACCGGCTAGGGGGTGGGGAGGTAAAGGCACTACTACTCCCAGCTATAGCTAATTCACAGTCGCAACTATCATTATCAGAAAATGAAAACCCCAACTACTCTCCATTTTTTTGATCTCCATTTTCCATCCAATTTTTTCTTTATTTCTCTACCTTTTTCTCTATCACGTATATACCCACCTAAAATCCTCTCCTATCTATCTCTCTCCCATTGGAACTCTCAGGATCCAAATTCACCTACTACTGCCTAAAGAAGCTGTTGTTACAACCGGCAATTGCACCTGCAGGACATTCTTACACATTCTTACATATTTCTTTTTCCTCTGCACAACCCTCTACCAAACATTTTACACTATTTTAATATGTGTGTCATTTGTACTTCAAGAGATAAATATGAGACAGAGGGAGAGTAATATAAAAAAAAACTTGCTTCCCAAGCCGACAAGCATAATTAATTAATCGTCTAACAAATCTTGACATCTATCATCTATCTATACCAAAATAGGATTACAACATTATTATGATTATACTTAGGCATGGACCGGTTCTGTTCTTACTCAAAAATAGTGGAATCGTTATTTAAATTTTAACAAATAAAATCGGTTCGGTTCCTATATAAAAAATCAAGAACCGATATGGAACTGAATCAATACTAAACGGTTCGGTTCTTGCTTTTATCGGTTCCTAGAATAATTTTTTTTCGTGTAAGAATTTACGCATAGTTTAGCTTCTACCACATGAAAACGTCAAAAAGTCAACAAGTCATAAACATTTATTTAGAGTTCTAATCGCTCCAAACATCAAAGCTCAGACTTAAGTGAACACTTAATAGAATAAAAAGAAGATTTTAATTTTCATTTAATACATAAAATATAAAAATCGTTGGTTATGTCGTTAAAATGAAGGTTGCTCATCATTATAGTGACAAGGATAGGAGTACACTTTATATCTCTCAAAACCTAGAAATACATTGAGTTTGCATGTACAAATATAAAAGCATCACTACATTCTACTCCTATTGATGGAACAAAACTTGATTTGTAAAAATGAGTTTAATGTATTCAACCTCATGTGCAAATATTTATTATTTTTGTTTTCATAGATTAAATTAAATTAGAATTATTGGCTAAATGTCATTCATTTATTATTATTATTGTTGTTGTTGTTGTTGTTGTGTTTATTTTTGTTATATTAGTATTACTACGAATACTGCTACAATTTTTTTTTAATATCAGTTCCTTAACGGTTCCGTGCATATATTTTTTATAGGAACCGGGAACCGAACCGTTAACAACAACTAGGAACCGAACTGTTAACAACTAATACCTCATTTGTAGGAACCGAACCGAACCGGGTTATAACGGTTCGGTTCCAACCATTTTAACGGTTCCCGATTCCAAAATACCACCCCTAATTATACCAAGTATAATACTCCGTAGCATTGTTTGATTAAGCATTGTTTGATGAACAATTAAGCAGCATCGTTTGCACTAGTTTTTTGATGGATTGAACCGCTAATCGATTTTCAAGAAAAAAAGAAAACTACTAATCGAATCCACTTTCCACTCAACTAATAAAGGGTGGAACTGGTCAAAGCCTTATCAGAAGATGATATGACCGCTTTTGAGGCATGGCTGATTGAGAAGAAACAAAGAGAATCCTTGATCCGGTTTTGTCATAGCAGCCAAGGAGAAGGAGAACCATCCACGGCAAATGATCTACCTCTGACTATGCAGAAGCTGATAAAAGAATGGAGAGATGCAAAGTTCGAAGAAACTGTAATTGAGGTAATCCCTGAATCCCCCTCTGTGCATTCAGAACCCCAAATTCCCTCCCCTCCCAAATCCCCCTCTGTGCAAAAACTCTGCCAACAGAATCCCAACTCCCTTTGCCACTCCACCTCAATCTCCTCCCCTAAAATCCTCATCTCCACAGAAAACCCCTCCACAACACAATACCTCTGCCCCTTCACCCCAGCAAACCCCATTTAAACAGAAAAACAAATTACCCTCCCCTTGAAAAGAGCAAAATCCTACCAGAAACCGCTCCCCATCACCTCCACCCTCACCTCCCCATCAGAAAACACCTTCACCTCAGAATACCTCCCCTCATCAGAGAACTCCCTCACAACAGAAATCCAAATCCCCCAGCAATGCTGCACACTCTCCACATTCCTCACATCACTCTGCAGCATCCACTCCCAAGAGAAAGCCTTTGTATCGTGTCCTTTCGTCTGATAGTGACAATGATGGATTCCTTCCATCCTCCCTGGCTGGAGATCTCACCTCGAAGAGAAGAAACACTCCCACCAGAGAACCTTCTCCACATCATCCCTCTCCGTAACAACCCAGAAGGCCTCCAATGCCTGGGTCAAGAGGACTAGGCATGCCTGATCTTGAAACAGAAGAGCCTCAAATTCCTTTTAATCAGTTTGTTGCAGCAGCTGAGGAATTTGGTGGCCAGATGGTAGATGGTATGAATCAGCTAGTGCTCATCAATGAGAAACATTATGAGCATCTGACCCAAGTCAATCATAATCTTGAGAATGGGCTACAACAACTCTCTCGAAAGGTGGATTCCTTGACTCATATTCTGACTACTTTCATGGAATCCTCTACTGCCAGAATTGAGGATGTTGCCAGAAAAGCTGAAGGTGTCAACTCTGTTCTTTTCTCACAGTCACAGACCCTAAACGAGCAGAATGAAAAGATGCAAGAGCTATCTGAATCTCTGGATGTCATGCAATGGTATGAAACTCAAGCATCTGAAGGATTGTTGGACATTCAGAACATCTGCAAAGAAAACAAGGAACAAACTTCAACTCTTCTATCATCAGACAAGGAAAGGTACCAGAAGATGATTCTTCTAGAAGCAAGCACGCATGAGATCAAATCAGCTATGGCCAAGCAACAGAACCTCATTGAAGGCGTGACCTCTGTCACCCAAACTCTACCAGAAGCTCTAGAGCAGATTGCCTCCTCCCAGGCTTCTGATTTCCAAAGGATAGCGCTCATTATCTCTGACTTGGATGATGCCAAAAAGGGGGAAGAGGACCCTAAACCCAGCGCCACCAGAACCCCTGCTAAGGCATCCTCCTATGCTGGTACAGCTATTAATCCTGCACCTTACTTTGAGGCTACCTTTAAAAACAAGAGGTCAGCTGGCATTCCTAGACCCCCATCTCCTCGCAAGAAAAGCGTCCAGAAGAAGAAGGCTTTTAGCTTCACTAAATGGAAACTGGGTGGTTCTCAAAGAATTGACAGAGCCCAATTCGAACAAATTCAACAGAAGATGACCCCTACCCAGAGACAGAACCTCTACCTTGACAGAGATGGTCAAATAAGATTTAGGCATTGTTGGGAATATTTTATGGTGTTCAATCTAGTTCGTTATCTTTGTATTTGTGTAGTTATTAATTAAACGTGTAATACGGGCCACAAATGTGTATCAGCCCGTGGGCTTCCTTGTAACCCGTAAGTTAGCTAACTTCTCCTATAAAAGGAGGCTAACTTACGGGAACCCTAACTAATCAAAAGAGGCTTAGAGACGCAGAGGCGTAGAGATAGAAAGATTAGGGTTGCCGCTGCTCTCCTTCTCCAGGGAGAGCAGCGGCCAGTTCATACGGTATACCAAATTCGGTTCTTATCTTGTCGATTTCTTTCTATCTGCTTCTTTTATCACTGCTATGGTTGTATGATTGTTAGTATTCTGAGATTAACATTTGGTATCAAAGACAAAGATATCTGCGCTGCAATGCTGATTCAACACGATTGATCACCAAGTGGGAGATTGTTGGGAATATTTTATGGTGTTCAATCTAGTTAGTTATCTTTGTATTTGTGTAGTTATTAATTAAACGTGTAATACGGGCCACAAATGTGTATCAGCCCGTGGGCTTCCTTGTAACCCGTAAGTTAGCCAACTTCTCCTATAAAAGGAGGCTAACTTACGGGAACCCTAAACGATCGAGAGAGGCTGAGAGACGCAGAGGCGTAGAGATAGAAAGATTAGGGTTGCCGCTGCTCTCCTTCTCCAGGGAGAGCAGCGGACAGTTCATACGGTATACCAGATTTGGTTCATCTTCTCGATTTCTTTCTATCTGCTTCTATATTACTGCTTATGATTGTATGATTGTTAGTATTCTGGGATTAACATTTGGTATCAGAGCTGAGGCGTGAAACAGGTTGGATCTATCTGCGATTTTTTTTTTGATCTAACGAAGAACTGCTCTGTTTTTTCTTCTGTTTTTCTATATGTAGAGATTTGCTCCTGTAATCTCGTTTGTGAACGAAATTTTGTAAAAATCATACTGTTGGACTCGCCTTTCAAAACTGATCCAGCAGCATACCTCTTTTTTCGTTTTCTGCAATTTTTATATTTCGAAGATCTCTACATTGAGATCTCGAAGTCCTTATTTTTCACTGCTGCAGAAACGTTTTTGGATTGAAACTGATACAGGAGAATCTCGACTTTCAGGGCTATTCAGAACAGGTTTCAGATTTTCAAAAATCAATGTTTTCGTTTTGCAGGATCTCGACATTTAGGGACTCGATTTCCTCTTCTCGACATCTTGATCTCGAGATTTGCATCTCGACATCTTGATCTCGAGATTTGAATCTCGACATCTTGATCTCGAGATTTGCATCTCGACATCTTGATCTCGAGATTTGAATCTCGAAATCTTGATTTCGAGATTTGCATCTCGACATCTTGATCTCGAGATTTGAATCTCGAAATCAAGATCTCGAGATTTGTAATCTCGAAATCAAGATCTTGAGATTTGTAATCTCGAGTCTTGGAATTTCGAGTTTAGGAATTTCGAGTTTTGGGATTTCGACATTTGGGATCTCGATGTTTTGGATCTCGACATTCTGAAGATTTCGAGATTTTCAAAATTTCTCTGTTTTGAATCTTTCAAAGTTTGCAGTTTCTTGGAACTCATAATTCGAATCTTGACATCCTTTGCAGTTCATCGAAGCTTTACATTATAGGATCTCTGAATGATTCCCTGCTTATAAATGTTTCAGGAGTTTTCGATGTTCTGATGTTTTTCAAACAACAAGTTTTCGAGATTATGAGGTTTCGAAACTCCAAAGTTTTCGATGTTCAAACATTTTGAAATTCTGCAGATTTCGATATTCTGAGGTTTGTTTTGCAGGTGGATTTCGCCATTATTCTTCGAGGCAACCTCGAGATTAGGA